AATAAATAACTATTTTGGAAAATGAAATAAAGAAGGAAAGGATTACTTAAAAAAAAAGCTGTGATTACTAAGGAAGTTGTTCAAGAGTGAAAAAAGTGAAGAATTATATTAGACTGCTGAATTTAAATGATCTCACCTTAAACAGAGTTTGGATTGCATCCATGATTGCAGTATGTTATAAATGAATTTGAATGGTATAATTTCATGTTGAAGGATGCACCACAAGAAGTAAAAAAAAAAAGATAGCTTCATACATTCATACATAAAATTTAAATCATTACCTCATAAAGATATCACACTCCTCTGTTCATTGTAACGTTATTCACATACTCAAAATATGAAATGGGTACCTTTTGAAAACAAGGACTCATAACATATTAAGGAGTTTTTAATCATGAGCCTGGAGATCCCAAGATGACTGAATAGAGAAACAACGTTCTGATTTTGACCAGGGGAAGACAGCCTAAGAAAAGTGGAGGGCCCGGCGCCGCGGCTCAATAGGCTAATCCTCCGCCTGCGGTGCCAGCACCCCGGGTTCTAGTCCCGGTCGGGGCACCAGATTCTGTCCCGGAAGTTCAGTGGTGGATGGACTTGGGCCCACATGGGAGACCAGGAGAAGCACCTGGCTCCTGGCTTTGGATCAGCACGATGTGCAGGCCGCAGTGGCCATTGTGGGGGTGAACCAATGGAAAAAAGGAAGACCTTTCTCTCTGTCTCTCTCTCTCTCACTGTTCACTCTGCCTGTAAAAAAAAAAAAGAAAAAGAAAAAAAAAGAAAGAAAGAAAAGTGGAGGAAGTGTATTCTAAGAGGAGAGTTGGAGAGAAGTTTGCAGTGGAAATTCTACAGAAAGAAGAGAAAGCAACACTGCCAAGGATGGGTCATTGTGGACGGTTCCATGATCACACTGAAAACTGAACAGATCTTTGCCTGGTTCATACACCAGCATACGTGAGTGTTCTACCCACTGTGAGCTAATACAAGGCAATGATCACCTTGGAAGAGAGGAAGTGAAGTCATGATTAAACCAACAGGTGTGATCATACACTCACTCCTGCTGACAAAAGTGGAGATCTTCAGCACCCAATTAGGTGTCACCATGGATACTCACCCTACACTTGAGTACTGACCAGAGCTCCTTGGTCCAACCCAGCACACACCTCTGGGTATTCAATGAAGGAGTAGACACTCCACTGAGGCATAGAGGCAAACTTCAAAGATAAAACCCAACAGTGGAGAAAACCAACAAGTATTTCCACAATTGCTTAAAAATAAATGCAAAAATACAAGAAACAATAACAAAGAAGAAAACATAACTTCACCAAAGGAACACAAAAACACTTCAAAATTAGAATGGGAAGATGGAGATAATGATTAAATGCCTGAAAAGGAACTCAAAAGAAAGATCACAGGATTACTCAGAAGAAATGAGAAACAAATTCATGACTTAAAGATTTCTGTTCACGACATGGAACAAGAATTTTGAAGTAAGATCAAGCTTTGGAAGAGAAATCAAACTGAAATATTAGAAATGAAGCATCCAATATGTCAAATCAAAAATATTTTGGAAATCCTTAACAACCGAGTTGGTGAGGCAAAAGAAAGAATATCTGAGCTAGAAGACAAATATTTGGAAATATCTCAGTGAGACCAACAAAAAGAAAATAAGAAAAATGAAAAGCACTGGGGACCAGTGCTAAGAGTCCTGCAGTGCTGGCATCACATATGGGTGCCTGTTCAAGTCCCGGCTGCTCCACCTCTGATCCAGCCCTCTGCTATGGCCTGGGAAACAGTGGAAGATCTCCCAAGTGCTTGGGCCCCGGTATCTACATGGGAGACCAGGAAGAAACTCCTGGCTCCAGACTGGCCTAGCTCCTGACAGTGAAGCCATCTGGTCAGTGAACCAGCAGCTGGGAGATCTTTCTCTCTATCTCTCCTTCTATATCTGTCTGTAACTCTGCCTCTCAAATAAATAAATAAAATCTTTTTTAAAAAAATGAAAAACAGCATTCAAGATTTATGAGATACTATCAAAGACTCAACATATGAGTCATAGGAGTTCTGGAAGGTATGGAAGGAGTGAAAAAGTTAGAAAGCCTATTCACTGATGTAATAAAAAAAAACTTTCTTAATTGGGAGAAATAAAGGGACATCTAAATACAGGAAGCACATTAAACTATAGATGTGACAAGAAAATATCTTCACCATGACATATAAAACAATATATTTCGGGGGGGGGGGGGGTTAGCCAGGGCTACTAGACAAGAAAAAGAAATCAAAGGGATACAAATGGGAATCAAATTATCCTTATTTACAGATGATATGACCCTATACACAGGAGAACCAAAAGACTCCACTAAGAGATTATTGTACCTCATAAGAGTATTTCAGAGCTTGGTAAAGTTGAAGATTATAAAATCATAACACAAAATTCAATTCCGTGATTGAGACAGAGCTTGTAAGATCAATACCATTCACAATAGTTACAAAAATTAAAAACCAAGAAATAAATTATAAATTTAACCAAGGATGTCAAATATCTCTACAATGAAAACTACGAAATATTAAGGAAAGAAATAGATGACACCCAAAAATGGAAAAATCTTCCAAATTCATAGAGCAGAATTAATATAAAGTTTCCATAAAAAAAGTCCATATGGCCTAAAATAATTTACAGATTCAACGTGATCCCAATCAAAATACTGAAGATGTTCTCAGACATGGAAACATCACCCTAAAATTCATGCTGAATCAAAAAAGACCCTGAATAGCTAAAGAAATCTTAAACAATAAAAATAAATCTGGAGGCATCACAATACCTGATTTCAAGACATTTTACAGGGCAGTTATAATCAAAACAGCTTGGCACTGGCAGAAGAATAAACACATCTACCAATGGCATAGGCTGGAGACTTCAGAAAAAATTCCACACAACTACAACAACTCTGGTTCAGAAAATGGGCAAAAGTAGTTAGACGAGAGTAGCTCACAGTCAAGTGGAACATTCATTGTGTAACAAAATGGAGGGTGAAAAGTGGATAGAAAATCAATAACCAGGCCCTACAGGACAACAGGATTAGCTCCATTAGAAAAGGCCAGAATGACTAGTTTTCCTACAATGATTTCAGTCACCTCCTACTCACTTGAGCCACTGCAGTGGCATTTTCTATTACTAGTTTAAGTTCCTGTTTCATATTTACATTTGAATTTGTCCTGAAGATTGAATTTTTATAGACAATGATGGAGGTTTTAAATGATAGAGAAGAAATTCTAGTAAAGAATAAACAGTATCAACAAGAATAAAACAATAGAAAGTATGGAGCATGTTGCAAGAGCAGTCCACTTGTCCTTGAGATGGGGGGCAGCTAGTCACTACAGCATGGGATCGAGTGAGTTCAAGATCAAGTTCCAAAGATAGAGGTGACAAATAATTTAGAACAGTTGAGGTTGATCAAGATAGAGTGCAGTGGGCACTTGGTTATGCATTTAAGGAACTTTCATCAGCATGCTTGGGTTGGGGGATATACAGATTTGACATTCAGATCGCAAGTCGAAGCTGATGCCTCACGTGTGATCAGTTGGACCAGTTGAGTACAGTGAGTCTCAGTGTTTACAGAGCTTCACAACCACTTGAAGAGCTCGATTTAAAAATGTAGGAAATGGAATAAATGTTTGTGACTATCAAAAAATAAAATGTAGACTCATTTATATTCCAGTGTTTTCAATTGAAATCAAAATGGTCTAAAATCAGATTGGTTGCATGAGGGTGTGAATAAACTGAAAATCAATAAACTGTTCACTATAGATGGGTGAACTGCATGTTGTGTGAACTATGGCTCAACAAGAAGTTTACAACCAAATAGCTAGCAGGTTAGGCCATGGCCCAGAGCTGTGATTTGCAAGTCCTTCTCAGGATCAGTGTCTTATTTCCTTTATCAGGGCTCATGTCTGTTCCTGAACTAAAGGGTGTCTACCATCAGCACACAAGCAACCCGTGCAATTCATGCCTGGGAGAAACTCCAGCATAGAAGACTGTGGCCCCAGAATCTCTGGAAGGCAACTCCCTGCACTTTTATGCCCTTTCATTGTCACTTGTTTAAACAGCCCTCTACTTTCTGCTTTGGGGGTCCTTCTGCCATTGAGGTTGTAAAGTGTGGTGCCCCAGTGAGGGTGAGGTGATGAAGGATACTGTATTCCAAACTATGGCAAAGAGCCTTGGAGTTGATATGTCTCTGGATGCAAAATGTTCGAAGTACACTGTGGTTCACCAGTGAGGTGAGAACAAGCTGATGTTGGATGTGCTATATAAAAGCACAAAGTAAATTGATTATTCCCTTAACTTTCTGTGGCCTGTGCGCTGAAGTGAATCACCAAGTTCAGGAAGAATGCTTGTGACACAGCAGCTGGGACTGAGTCCTACCTCACTACACTTGGCACAATTCACTTGCTGCCCTCACAGAAGCTCCTTACATATCAGCCACGGAGAATTCAGAGTATGGGTAGAATCCAATGCCCATGCATCTGTTACGTACAACAGTGGCCTTGTATGTAGGTATCCAAAGCATGGGTTGCTTTGGAATGAAGACTTCCACAGGGACCAGAGCTAACATGTTTCCAACTAGCTCCTTTGTATTCCAGGAGTTACTTCACCCAGAGGCAGGAAATCAAGGGGCTTAACAGAAGATACGTCCATGGGTACCAGTATTGTGTTCTGTCCTTGAGCTCAAGGATACAGTCCCCACAGCTGGCACAGGAAAGGCAATCACAATTTGTGGGTTGAACCAAGAAAGGGAGTGCCCAAGTCTAGTGGTAAAGACTTTAACTCCACATCAGATATTGGGAATTCACCACTGGGTGGCTAGGAAGGCCCACTAGACCACAGAGCAAACTGAGCAATCTCTACCAATGTATGTATAAAACAGGGGTCAAGAGAAGGAAAAGACCACATAAATTAACTAAAATACAAATGCCCCTGATACAAACAGAGAAACAGTATTGGAAGTCATTACACAGGATGCAGAGAACAATTCCTTTAATTAAGCATGAAAAATTATGAACATCCTGAAGAACATACATTTAATTTACTCAATGCATTAAAAACTTGAAAACCTATCTAAGAAATACCTAATGAGGTTTACCAATTTAATTTTCCAAAAAATATTTGCACTGGGTCCTGAACTACCCAAAGAAGAAAGAATGCACAGAGAATAAACAGGTTGTGCTTTTACATTGGTGCCACAGGGATGATGGAAACTGCCCTCCAAACATAGCCTAAATAAACGGTCTCCACTACGACGGCATTGACAACATCATGGATTCGAGGCACATATCCATCAGGAAGTTTCACACAATCCAAGATGAAGACGGTAGAATTACCTATCACCCCATTTCTTCCATTTACACTAGTAATGCACACCTGTGGAGGTAAATGATGGAAATGATTACATAAAAGTATCACATAAAACCTGCTCTGCACCTCCCTCTGGTTCTCAGCTGCATGCCCAACAGTAATCCCTAACCTAGTTGGCACATGGCGAACACCTGGGGTGCTTTGTAAACACACCTGTGCCCAGACCCACTTCATATCAATTTGATCAGAATATCTAGGTTAGGGACCTGTGTCTCTGCAGAGAAACCTTGCAATAAATACTACTCAGTGTCCATAATCTCTGCAAATTAAAGTCAAAGGATTAAGTAAAATAGAAATTTGGAGATAAGCAGACTATCATTTTTATCCTACTTCCTCTCTCACATACTAAGATCATTATTTCATCTGTACCATTGTTCAAACTGAATTTCTGTGCACATTCTGGCTCCATTACCTACCAAAGTACACCTAGACTTTACTAGTAAACACATCTACCACTCCATCCATTTTTTTAATCTAGTAGACCCTAAAACATGGTTTGTTTTATGCTTTTGTTCTCTGAACATTTTATTATTTCCCAATGAAACTACATATTTAACAAATTAAATACATGAATGATCCACATTATTCCCTATATCAGTTCATAAGTACAGCCTTTAAGATAAGTAAATAGTCGCCTCCTTGACAAAAATATATTTTGTGTTAGATTTCTCAATCCACGTAACAGAATCCTGAGCAGCAGAAATTATTGCTAAATAAAGGACAACTAGAAACAAATCACAAGTGCAATATTCAAACCTCACACAGACGCTTGTGTCTCCGAGGCTTCACTGACAGGACCTTCCTTCTTTGCATGTCTGGCTGGATGAAAAAGGTAACTTCTACACAGTCATGTGGATAAGGATCAAAATCTAAAACAGCCATGAAGAAAAAATTAAGTGAAAACTGCTGTTAAATTTGCTAATGTTGCAATACTCTGGTTTCTCTTCAGATAATATAAATCTTTCACCTTTTACTAAAATTGCTAATGTTGTATTTCATAAATGTTCCCAGGTTTTAATACCCTAAAGCAGTTCCAATTGCATTTAAAGAATATTTATATTTTAAAACAGTTAGTTATCCTATAAAATGTACTGTCAGAAAATAAATTTATCATGCTATACAAATTTCTCTCCTCTACTGATTTAGCAAGGTCATATGGGGAAAAGTGTCAACAACTCCACATCCTACAAAGACAATCTATTTGGGAGCAGAGCAGGATGTATTAAACAATCACAACTCTTCCATGAGAGGCAGTCAAATACAAAGGGAATAGCACAAGCCTTAAGCCAGCTACCTGAGTTCAGCACCTACTTATTTTGAAAATCCCGTAAAGGTGTTCATTCTCTGTGATTTGATTCGCCTCTGAAAACTGAAAAGCCCAGCAGTAGAACTTACCACACAGAATTTCAGGCACAATTAATTGATACTTACAAAACACAAAATACTACCAGGCACAAACTAAGCACCAAGAAAGTGTTGAATGCCATTTGTAGGAGCATTAGCAGAAGGACATTCTGTCACAGAAAAATTGAAATGAATTTCTCAGGTGTTTTGGAAATGGAATGGACTCTATATATGTTATATATGCTATATTTTACAATTCAAAATGAATATGTACAGATGGTTTAAAATAAGGTACAAGTGAGTCACAAGATACATAGAAACCAGGAAGGATTTAGAGCAAATGCAATTCTCATATACTGCTATTGGAAGTGTAAATCAGTATAAATACTTCAGATAGTTACAAATATCTACTAAAGTTCAGCATTGCTGCACCTTATGATCCAGGATTTCCTACCTCTTTTCATAGTCCTTAATCCCTCCATAGTTCTATTACAAATAAATTTTAGAATGACGCAAATATGCAATAGATCTGTTAGTCTCTTCCTCTTTTATGTTTTCTTTAACTGTACCTTTGTGGGACTCTAAATGACAGCCATAGGTTTAAAACTCCAAAATGTGTACACCTATACACATACATCTCAGATTCATAGATCTAAATGCTTACTTACTAGAATTATTATATCCAAAGCTTATTAATTTTCTGTTGTTCTTCTCATGCACCCAAGGTTTCCCTAAGTCTTTTCAAATATCAAACAATGGAAACTCTCTCTCTCTCTCACTCTCTCTCTCTGCCTCTCGTTCTCCCCCTCTGTATAACTCTGACTTTCAAATAAATAAATACATGTAACCAAGGATCTCTACAATGAAAATTACAAAATATTAAAGAAATAGAAGATACAAAAAATGGAAAAATCTTCCATGTTTGTGTATTGGAATAATTAATATCATTAAAATGCCAATAAAACCAAAAGCAATTTACAAATTCAGTGCAACCCCAATCAAAATACCAATGACATTCTTCTCAAATATAGAAAAACTGATACTAAAATTCATAAGGAAAACACAAGACACCTTGAATAGTTAACACAATCTTATACAACAAGATCATAGCTGGAGCCATCACAATACCAGATTTCAAGACATACTACAGGGCAGCCATAATCAAAACAACCTGGTGCTGAAAAAAATAGACTTGTATACCAATGGAACAGAATAGAAACTCCAGAAATCAATCCATACATCTACAACCATCTAATCTTTGGCAATGAAGTTAAAATCAAACCCTGGAGAAAGGACACTCTCTTCAACAAATAGTTCTAGGAAAATTGGATCTCTGCATTCAGCAGTATGAAGCAAGAACCTTACCTGATACCTTACACAAAAATAAACTCAAAACGGATCAAGTATCTAAATCTACCACCTGATGCCATCAAATTCCTAGAGGAAAATATTGGGAAAATTCTGCAAGACATTGACATAGGCAAAGACTTCTTGGAGAGATCCCAAAAGCACAGGCAATCAAAGCCAAAATAGAAAAATGGGATTACATCAAGATGAGAAGCTTCTGAAAAAAATAGGTGAAGAGGCAACTAACAAAATGGGATAAATTATTTACAAATTATGCAACTGATAAAGAATTAATATCCAGAACCTATAAGGAGCCAAAGAAACTCAAAAACAAAACAAATAATCTCATTAAGAAATGGGCAAAGGACTTGAACAGGAATTTTTCAAAAGACTAAATTCAAGTGGCCAACAGACACAAAACATTGCTCAGGATCACTGGCCATCAGGGAAGTACAAATAAAAACCACAATGAAGTTTCACCTCACCCCAGTTACAATGACTATCATCCAAAAATCAAAGAACCACAAATGCTAGTGAGGATGTGGGGGAGAAGGTACCCTAACCCACTGTTGGTGGGGATGTAAATTGGTGCAGCAATTGTAGAAGAGTGTATGGAGAAACCTCAGAAAGCTGAAAACAGATATACCATATGAGCCACTCATCCCATTCCTCGGAATTTGATGAAAGGAAATTAAAGCTGCATATGAAATAGTTATCAGTACCCCCACGTTTACTATCACTGAATTCACAATAGCAAAGATATGACATCAACCCAGATGTCCATCAAGTGATGAATGGATTAAGAAATTATCGGGAGGCCCAGGGCTGTGGCACAGCAGGTTAATGCCCTGGCCTGAAGCGCCGGCATCCCATATGGGCTCTGGTTCGAGACCCAGCTGCTCCAATTATGATACAATTCTCTGCTGTGGAATGGGAAAGAAGTGGAAGATGGCCCAAGTACTTGGACCCCTGCACCCGCGTGGGAGACCCAGAAGAAGCTCCTGGCTCCTAGCTTCGTATCGCCACAGCTCCAGCCATTGCGGCCAATTGGGGAGTGAACCATCAGATGGAAGACCTCTCTCTCTCCCTCTCTCTCTTTCTCTCTCTCTCTGTGTAACTCTGACTTTCAAAGAAATAAATAACTCTTTTTAAAGAGGCTTCAACGAATATTTAAAAAAAAAGAAATTATCAGGGCCAGAACTGTGGTGTAGAGGGTAAAGCCACCGCCTGCAGTGCTGGCATCACATATGGGAGCCAGCTGAGTCCCGGCTGCTCCACTTCTGATCCAGCTCTCTGCTATGTCCTGGGAAAGCAGTAGAAAATGGTCCAAGTCCTTGGGCCCCTGCACCCACGTGGGAGACTCGGAAGAAGCTCCTGGCTCCTGATCAGCACAGTTCCAGCCATAGCATCCAACTGGGGAGTGAACCAGCAGATGGAAGACCATTTTCTCTCTCTCCCTCCCTCCCTCTCTCTGTCTCTCCTCTCCCGTTGTAACTCTAACTTTCAAATAAATGAATAAATCTTTTTAAAAAAAAAGAAAGATAAAAAATGTGAAGGAAGAAAAATTGCAGGACCAAGTCATTACTTATCAACAATAATGTTAAATGTAAATAGCCTAAATCTTCCAAATAAAAAATACAAAATGGCTTAATGGATTAAAACACAATACCCATCTATTTGCTTCTTGCAAGAAACATACCTCACCAACAAAAATCCTCTCAACATGGATTAAACATCTAAATCTACAACCCGACACCATCAAATTATTAGAGAACATTGGAGAAACCCTGCAAGATATAGGCACAGGCAAAGACTTATTGGAAAAGACCCCGGAGACACAGGCAGTCAAAGCCAAAATTAACAATTGGGATTACATCAAATGGAGAAGTTTCTGTACTGCAAAAGAAACAGTCAGGAAAGTGAAGAGGCAACCAACAGAATGGGAAAAAATATTTGCAAACTATGCAACAGATAAAGGATTAATAAACAGAATCTGCAAAGAGATCAAGAAACTCCACAAAAACAAAACAAATAACCCACTTAAGAGATGGGCCAAGGACCTCAATAGACATTTTTCAAAAGAGGAAATCCAAATGGCCAACAGACACATGAAAAAAATGTTCAGGATCACTAGCAATCAGGGAAATGCAAATCAAAACCACAATGAGGTTTCACCTCACCCCGGTTAGAATGGCTCACATTCAGAAATCTGCCAACAATAGATGCTGGAGAGGATGCAGGGAAAAAGAGACACTAACCCACTGTTGGTGGGAATGCAAACTGGTTAAGCCACTATGGAAGTCAGTCTGGAGATTCCTCAGAAACCTGAATATAACCTTACCATATAACCCAGACATCCCACTCCTTGGAATTTACCCAAAGGAAATTAAATTGGCAAACACAAAAGCGGTCTGCACCTCAATGATTATTGCAGCTCAGCTCACAATAGCTAAGACCTGGAATCAACCTAAATGCACATCAACAGTAGACTGGATAAAGAAATTATGGGATATGTACTCTATAGAATACTATACAGCAGTAAAAAAAATGAAATCCGGTCATTTACAACAAAATGGAGGAATCTGGAAAACATTATGCTGAGTGAAATATGCCAGTCCCAAAGGGAAAAATATCATATGTTCTCCCTGATCGGTCACAACTAACCGAGCACCAAAAAGGAAACCTGTTGAAGTGAAATGGACACTATGAGAAACAGTGACTTGATCAGCCTTTGCCCTGACTGTTGGTGAACAACTTAATGCTTTATCCATTTTAGTATTTTTTGTCCTATTTAATACTACTGGTTGAACTCTGTAATTAACACACAATTATTCTTAGGTGTTGAAATTTAACTGAAAAGTGATCCCTGTTAAATATAAGAGTGGGAATAAGAGAGGGAGGAGATATACAGTTCAGTACATGCTCAATTGGACTTGCCCCAAATGGTAGAGTTAGAAACATGCCAGGGGATTCCAATTCAATCCCATTAAGGTGGCATGTACCAATGCCAACTCACTAGTCCAAGTGATCAGTTTCAGTTCACAATTGATCATAATGATAGGTCTAAGAGTCAAAGGATCACAAAAACAAGACTAGTGTCTGCTAATACTAACTGATAGAATTTAAAAGGAGAGAACGATCCATCATGGGAAGCAGGATACACAGCAGACTCATAGAATGGCAGATGTCCTAAACAGCACTCTGGCCTCAGAATCAGCCCTTAAGGCATTTGAATCTGGCTGAAGAGCCCATAACCGTATTTTAGCCATGGAAAGCCAAGACACTCTGGCTAAAAATAAAAAAGACCTAAATGAAAGATCTCTGTGAGTGAGATCCCAGTGGAAAGAACAGGCCATCAAAGGAGGTACCTTTCTCTGAAGGGAGAACTTCCACTTCGACTAAGACCTTGTCTAAAAAAGATCGGAGAGTTGGCGAACTCAAGAAACTTCCAAAGCCTTGGCAACTCATGACAAAAGCCTAGGGAGATTACTGACACCATAAACAAGAGTGTCAATTTGTTAAGTCAACAACAGGAGTCACTGTGCACTTACTCCCTATGTAGGATCTCTGTCCTTAATGTGTTGTACCTTGTGAATTAATGCTATAACTAGTACTCAAACAGTACTTTACACTTTGTGTTTCTGTGTGAGTGCAAATTGTTGAAATATTTACTTAATATATACTAAATTGATCTTCTGTATATAAAGTTATTTGAAAATGAATCTTGATGTGAATGGAATGGGAGAGGGAGCAGGAGATGGGAGGGTTGCAGGTGGGAGGGAAGTTACGGGGGGGAAGCCACTGTAATCCATAGCTATACTTTGGAAATTTATACTTATTTAATAAAAGTTAAAAAACATATAAGGCTAACCAATTGAAAAATAAAAGTCCAGATGATTATCTCCATAGATACAGAGAAGGCATTTGATAAAACACAACATCCTTTCAAGATTAAAAGCCTAAATTGGGTATAAAAGGAACATTCCTCAACACAATCAATGCAAGGCAATATATGACAGACACATAGCCAGCATCTTATTGAATGGAGAAAAGTTGAAATCAGTTCCACTAAGATCTGGAACCGCCAAAGGTTGCCCACTTTGACCATTGTTATTCAATATAGTTCTGCAAGCTTTAACCAGAGCCATTAGGCAAGAAAAAGAAATCAATGGAATACAAATTGGGAAGGAGGAAGTCAAATTATTCCTGTTTTCAGATGACAGGATCCAAACATAGAGGATCCAAAGAATCCACTAAGAGACTATTAGAACTAATAAGAGCTTGGCAAAGTGGCAGGATATAAAATCAACACACAAAAATCAACAGACTTTGTATACATAGACAATGCCATGGCTGAGGAAGAACTTGTAAAATCAGTACCATTCACAATAGCTACAAAAAGTTTAAATACTTTGGAATTAATTTAAGCATGCGAAGATCTCCACAATGAAAATTACAAGAATTAAACAATGAAATGAAAAAGAAGACAAGAAAATCCATGTTTGTGGATCGACAGAATTAATATCATTAAAATGTCTGTACAACCGAAAGCAATTTACAGATTCATTATGATCCCAAACAAAATATCAATGACATTCTTCTCTGATCTAAAAAAAGCAATGCTAAAATTCATATGGAAACAGAAGAGACCCTGAATAGCTAAAGCAATCTTATAAAACAAAAACAAAAATGGAGGCATCACAATACCAGATTTCAAGATGTATTACTGAGAAGTTATAATCAAAACAGCCTGGCACTGGTACAAAAATAGACATGTAGACCAATGGAATAGAATGGGAATCTCAGAAATTAATCTATGTTATAACCAACTAATCTTTTACAAATGATCTGAAATCAATCCCTAGAGAAAGGACAGTCTCTTCAACAAATGGAAAAGCACACAGAAACATAGCCAAAAATGCAAAAATAGACAAACGTGATTACATCAAGCTAAGAAGCTTCTGCACTGCAAAGGAAACATTAAACGAAGTGAAGAGGCAGGGCCAGTGCTGTGATATAGTGGGTTAAACCTCTGCCTGTAGCGCCAGCATCCCATATGAGAGCTGTTTGGGGTCCTGGCTGTGACTTTTCCAATACAGCTCTCTGTTATAACCTGGGGAAGCAGTGGTAGATGGCCCAAATGCTTGGACCCCCACATCAGAAGAAGCTCCTGGCTCCTGGTTTGGGATTGGCCCAGCTCCAGCCACTGCAGCCATTTAGGGAGTGCACCAGTGGATGGAAGACCTTTCTCTCTGTCTCTCTCTTCCTCTTTCTATAACTATGCCCCTCAAATAAATAAAATATTTTTAAAAAGTGAAGAGGCAAATTAGGCAGCTAATAAAGGATTAATATCGAGAATCTATAAAGAGTCCAAGAATCTAAACAGCAACAAAACAAACAACACAGTTAAGAAATTGGCAAAGGAAATGAACAGGTATTTTTCAAAGGATGAAATTCAAATGAAGAGCAGACACATGAGAAAATATTCAGGGTCACTAGCCATAAGAGAAATGCAAATAAAAACCACAATGAAGTTTCACCTCACTGCAGTTAGAATGGCTGTCATCCAAAAATCAAAATGCAATAAATGACAGCAAGGATGTGGGTAAAAATGCACCCTTATACACTGTTGATGAGAATGTAAACTAATACCAACCATTATGGAAGATGGAAGGAATTTCCTCAGAAATCTGAAAATAGATCTACCCTAGGACCTTGCTGTCGCTCCCCCACTCGCGGAGGAACGACACCGGTCCTTCCTGGATTTGCTGCCGCTCCCCCGCCTCCGCGGAGGAGCAACACCCCCACCACTCCCCTGCTTTCGCGGAGGAGCGGCACCAACGAGCTGTCCGACCTACTCTCTCAGGGGGCCCCGCATGTTGTCTCTCTCCCTCTTTCATAGTCCTCTCCCACCAATCCGTGCTCTGCTGCCCACGTGCTGAGCACGCCGCTTTCTTCCAAACAGGGGTTGGGTCAGGAATCAGCTAATTAACGAAGTAGCTGTGTAAGATTTTTTTACTCTCTCTCAGCACCATATGATGGAAGATCAGATGCACAGAGTTAGTCTTAATAGTCTCAGTGGTCTAGTCTAGTCTCAGTAGTCTCAGTACTTATTTCGCCATGTTGCAGGAGACAGGCCCTGCTCCCCACACTTGCCATCCCACTCCTGGGAATTTACCCAAACAAAATCAAATTAGCATATGAAAGACACATCTCTACCACTATATTTATTGCAGCTTAATTCATAGTGGCTAACATATGAAAATCAATCCATATGTCCATCAACTTAAGACTGGATAAAGAAAATGTAGTATATATACAATATGGAATACTACTTGGCCATAAAACATGAATGAAATCTTGTCTTCTGAAATAAAATGGATGCAACTGGAAGCCATGATGATTATTGTAATAAGCTAGTTTGAAAAAGACAACTGTTTTTTCTCTGATATGTGACAGTTAATACAGAATACAAAACTGCATAAGAATGAAATGAACATCGTGTAATACTATTGTTGTTATTAGTCCTTATTTACACTCCTGTAGAACTGTGGTTTTCCTACTTTTTATTTGTTGAATATTATGTTTAGTGGTCAATTAATCCTGTGATTATACAGTAGATTGAAATTATGTCTTTGCAGAAATTAAAGAAAAAAAGAAAGGAATGAAGGAGGGCAATTGAAGGAGGGAGGGGGGAGGGAGAGAAAAACGTTTATCTTCTTAAATCTGTATGAAATGCATGAAATCTATTCTTGTAATTTTTAAAAAGTAAATACATAATATAAAAATTGTTAATTTTACCTGTAGAAATAATATCTACACTGAAGAAGCATGTGTGATTAAAGCGGCCAGCATGATCCATTAGAGAGTTAAGACACCCAAGTGTAACTTTCCTATATGATCCTGAAGGTCTGTTGCCATGGATATTACGGTTGTCAGCATCCACCTAGAAAGCAAGTAACAGTTACTCACACATAACCAAAATTTAAAAGAAGCATATGCTATAGTCACTGTTGTCCAAGAAATACTTGAAAGAATTGTAATAAACATTGTTGAGTGTATTTCAACTCAAAAACACATCATAGACACGAGTTCATAAAATAATGTCTCAGATTCATTATTTTTTTATTTCATTTGTTTCAGCAGGTTAGCAAACTTGAACAGAGTAGAGAATTCCTATAGACTCTGTCTCCTACACATCTAGTTTATATGTTATTAGCATCTTGCATGGGAATGGTACATTCATTACAATTGATGAAGCAATGTCAATACATGATAAAATACATAATTTACATTAGGTTCACTCTTTGTGTTGTACAGTCATATATTTTTAAAATGATAAAGAGCATTATTTGCATACCCTCCAGGTTTAATATACTGATAGTATTAGATTCAAAGATAAAAGATATGCTATTGCTGCTCTCCAGCAGTTCATAAAGAATAAAAGACAAAAATAACTAATTCAAAGCAAATTTTGATAAAAGACAAAAGCTTGTTCAAAAATTTTTCTGAGCATAGCCAGGATGGAGTGAATTTCAGATATAGAATACATGATTTTCTTAGAGGAAGTATCTTGCCCTTGGCTTCTTTTCAAATTTTCCCACACTAATGCATCAATATCCAAGCATAATCTAGACTCTCCTACCTTAAAAATAAAAATAAATAATTCTCTCTTGATCTCATTTTTCCATCAAAATCAATTCTCTGTTTCTCCTCCCAGCAAAAGATATTGAGAGAGCTGTTCCTAAAACCAGAAAAAGCCTGTAAATCACCTTTAGATTCCATGATATGTGCCTGATGCACTGTGAGCAAGCAGTTTTCATTTCATGGTGGGGAGCTGAATGAAGAAGTAAGGCTCTAGTGGGATGACACTGACCTAAAGAGAAGGCCATGGAGACAAGAACTCTGTCAAGTTGCCTGACAGCAAAGGGAAAGGCAAAGCCAAAAGAAAATGCTGTCTAAAGAGCTAGAACTTGTATTTGATGACTGAAGACTTAGTCTATTTAAATTCTGTTGTATCTTTTTCCTTAATAGTGGAAGAATTTGAAAATACAGAGAGAGAAGAGGCACTCAACAGTGCAGAAAAGGATGTGGAGAAATCAAAGGGAATGACATCCAAAATAGAGCTTTAGAGAATTGGCCATGAGAAAAGGGATTACTCTTTTTGTTCTAAAAGGACAGAAGTGGGGGATATGTGAAGATGGAGAAAGATTTACAGGTTTTCTCATTCAAACAAATACCAAAATCAGAGACTTCACAAACCCTTAGCTCTGGATGAAATGAGCATAAGTTAAATGAAAAGCTTGCCAAGTCATCCAACCTTGTCCCTCAAAGAGGGACTTGGGAGATGATTCCTTTATGATCTTCATGGAATATTTACTTCTGATGAGAAATGGTGCAAACATATAAATAATAAAGGAAAGCTCTCAATTATTTGTTTGAATCCAACATAAAAGAGATTCCAAAAGCTGATTAAATAGAAATGAGAGACAACTATAAGTCAACTCCATTTATGAAAATGAAAAAAATCCAAATAAAATGTAAGCAAGCAAAAATAACAGGACATTACAAGAAATTCTCATAACAAATAAAAGTGTGATTCTCATAAAAGCAAAAGGGCCTGACACTTGGCAAATGAGCTGTATTTTCTCCATATTAGTATCAGTAAATACAAATTAAGAGGGCCAACCAGGGTTGAATAGGTATAAACACTGTGCTTCTAGATGTTGTGATTCCCATTTAAGACCATAATCACAGTATCTCTTACTAAATATCATTAAGAAATTATCTTGGCTGATTTTGTAGTTATATTAGTAATCTACAGAGGAACAAAAAGGGATATTCACATGCCTACTTGCATAAATTAATGCAATACTGATAAGAAGGAACAAAGAGCTGCACAATACATTTTTTTTGACAGGCAGAGTGGACAGTGAGAGAGAGAGAGACAGAGAGAAAGGTCTTCCTTTGCCGTTGCTTCACCCTCCAATGGCCGCCGCAGCCGGCGCGCTGCGGCCTGCGCACCGCGCTGATCCGATGGCAGGAGCCAGGTACTTCTCCTGGTCTCCCATGGGGTGCAGAGCCTAAGCACTTGGGCCATCCTCCACTGCACTCCCGGGCCACAGCAGAGAGCTGGCCTGGAAGAGGGGCAACCGGGACAGAATCCGGCACCCCGACCGGGACTAGAACCCAGTGTGCCGGCGCCGCAAGGCGGAGGATTAGCCTAGTGAGCCGCGGCGCCGGCCTGCATAATACATTTTAGTCAGATTCCACAGCTTTCATTATGTAAAAAAAATAAATACTGACCAATATTTATGTCAAAAACGTACAAAAATATTATAGAATATTATGCACACTCTCAAAGTGCCACCAAGAAGAGGGCTCTTATTATCAAACTATAAGCCATTAAAAAGTACCATGTCTGAGGAGTAATAGTTGCTCCGTAAGGCAAGAAGGATGATTTTACTTTTCAATTTACATCCTTATAGACTTTGAGTTATTTATCTGTGATTGGGTATGTATACAAAAATATTCACATATAAAGAAAGGATATATCAAGCATTCAATTTACAGTTGCTACTTCAAAAATAATAGAGTATGTCTCCATCGTTTTGAAGATTCAGTAAGATCTATTAGATTACATAACAAAAACCAGTAGTGAAATATGCATGAAGATGGAATTAATTTGAAAATAAAATACACAGATAATGATTTTAACTTATAATAAAAAAGTTTATTTCAGAAATCTAATTAAATAATTACAATAAAATGCATACTGATAACATAACACAAATATTCAGTCTGGGAAATACATTTAGAAGACATACAGAATTGATTTTGAGGAAATGTGTAAAACAGTTCAAAAATATGTAAGGGGAAAACTGTGCCTTTTTGAGAAAAAGACAGTTATGATGTTGCTCCAGCCTTTGTGGCCGATTCGGGAGTGAATCAGCAGAAGGATGACCTCTCTCTCTCTCTCTCTCTCTGCCTCTTGTTCTCTCTGTGCAAAACTCTAACTTTCAAATAATCCCAAACATTGAAATAAATACTTTAAAAAGCTTTAGTGATTCAAAGTTTTTAATATACCATCAGCATGAGATAACACAATCCAATGACTATGACACAGTTTCAAATGCCTATGGGAATACAGTGTGTGATGATGCAAGGGGCATTTCAACTTAGTATGGGAAAAGTGGACTATTGCATTGAAAGTATGGGGACAAGGGCCAGTGTTGTGGCATAGTGGGTGAAGCTCCTGCCTGTGATAGCTGCATCCCATATGGGTGCCAGTTTGTGTCCCATGTACTCTTCTTCCAATCTAGTTCCCTGCTAATGGCCTGGGAATGTAGCAAAAAATGGCACAAGTGCTTGGGCCCCTGCCACCCAAGTAGGAAACCCAGATGAAGATCCTGGCTCCTAGCTTCAGCCTAGTCCAGTCCCTGTCATTGAAGCCATTTGAGGAGTGAACCAGATGTTACAAGATCTCTTTGTCTCCCTCTCATTCTGTCTCCTCCCAATTTGTAACTAATTTTCAAATAAATAAATCAATCTTTAAAAATGATAAAAATTAGCAAAACAAACTATATTCTTCTCTGAGTTGCTACACTTTAATCAATTCCAGGCAGGCTGAGTGTTTAGATCTAAACAACTAACTAACTTTAAGAGGAAAATATGATATTTCTGTGAATTAAGAAGTACAATGAGCCTTCAAAAGGATTCTCACTGTACACAAAAGTCATACAGATAAGATGGACACAGTTGTCCTATTTTTTAAAAAATTAAACTCCATGAAACAAAGTTGAAATACAGTCTTAGAAGAAATATCTGCAAAATATATATGCTATAAATATTTTAATGAGGCTCTGACTTCCCTAATATACAAATAGTTCTGATATCCCTAATATAGAAACAGCTCTAGAAAGGATTTTCACTGACACTTTGAAAAGTGCAAATACAATTACAAGGATCCTTTTTAGTTCAAAGATTGACAATATTTCCATTCTTGCCAATACTGGCAGCCAGGTACTCTCACAGCCTGCTACTGACAGTGCCTATTAGTACAATACAGTTGAACCATCACTTAGTTATATGCATTAAAATGGTAAATATACAGACATAAGTGATAGCTAAATAACACTGTAAATTCAATAAAAGTGCCATCTATTTATACTTATTTTAAAACAGGAACCTTAAAAAGAAAGATTAATCACACACCAATAAAGCTCTTTCAAAACAATTATTAGCATGCATGTTTGTTCAGCTTGCAATTAATTACTTCAGCACAAGCAGAAATCCATTACTTGGGTGAGAAAAGAAGTTCTAGGATCTTACATACTGCAAGATTATAAATGATAATCAAAATTTTAAATGCCAAAGAACAGATTAATACTTCTGCAAACAGAAACTACTACAAAGGTTGAACAAATGTCCTAGGAAATCTGGTAAATTAGACTTCAATTTCATCCTACAAATACTACACCCAGGGCACCTCAGAGAGGGTGAAAATAGAACTTAGTTTAAAGCATCCCCAGAAATAAACATAACCCCAGCTCACACCACTTTTACATTGGTGACAATATACCTGAGATGTTTCGTCTTCCACAACAGGAGTGACATGTTGCCCAGCACTCAGAAGGATGCGTTCAGACACATCCGTAACAAAGAAGGCAGACTCAGCAGTGAAGCCATCATTAGCATCAGCACTTGCAGCTTCTCCCTGGGTTCTTGCCAAATCACCTATGAGAAAGGCAAATAAAAGCTTTCAGGAATTAACTTCAAAAGCAAACACACAGCCGGCGCCGCGGCTCAATAGGCTAATCCTCCACCTAGCGGCGCCGGCACACTGGGTTCTAGTCCCGGTCGGGGCACCGGATTCTGTCCCGGTTGCCCCTCTTCCAGGCCAGCTCTCTGCTATGGCCCGGGAGTGCAGTGGAGGATGGCCCAAGTGCTAGGGCCCTGCACCCCATGGGAGACCAGGAGAAGTACCTGGCTCCTGCCATCGGATCAGCGCAGTGCACCGGCTGCAGCGTGCCGGCCGTGGCGGCCATTGGAGGGTGAACCAACGGCAAAAGGAAGACCTTTCTCTCTGTCCCTCTCTCTCACTATCCACTCTGCCTGTCAAAAAAAAAATTTTTAAATTAAAAAAAAAAAAGCAAACACACACTACAAATAAGCCCTATAGAGGAAGCTGTGGGAGGCAATTATCTAAAAGTAGAAATAAAGAGTGTTAGATTTAAGATGCAGATGACAGTGCCAGTAGAGCACAGTGGGTAAGTGTGCAGGATTATGGAGGCAGACTGCTGAGATTGAAATACTAGTTCCACTATTTCACTGTGGAGCACAGTGGCTCAATGCCCAAGCCAGTGTAGTTACATGGCTAAGAACATCAGCTGTAGAGGCAGATTGCTTGGAGTTGCATCACGGCTGTCAACTGTGTAATTGTGCCTGTGATGCAGCCGGTGATGACTCCAGTACTTGGGTGCCTGCCATCCACCCACGTAAAAAGCCCGGATGGAATTCCTTACTCCTAGATTCCACTGGGTTCTGCCTCAGCTATGGCAGCCATTTGAGGAGTGAACCAGCATATGGAAGATCCGTCTTTCCCTCTCTCTGTGTTACTGTGCTTTTCAAATAAATAAATAAACACACAGATCATAAAAAATGAAATTTACCCACATAAAGAAAGATCCTTGACTATGGACATATAAAAGAGGAATCTGTCAGACAGTCACAGGGCATCTACACAAGGTAATTTCTTTTTTTTTTTTTAAGATTTGAAAGAGTTACAGAGAGAGAAGAAGAGACAGAGAGAGAGGTCTTCCATCTGCTGGTTCACTCCCCAATTGGCCACAAAGGCCAGAGCTGTGCCGATCCAAAGCCAGGAGCCAGAAACCAGGAGCTTCTTTCAGGTCTCCCACGTGGGTGCAGGGGCTCAAGGACTTGGGCCATCTTCTACTGCTTTCCCAGGCCATAGCAGAGAGCTGGATCAGAATAGGAACAGCCGGGACTAGAACCGGCGTCCATATGGGATGCCAGCGCTTCAGGCCAGGGCGTTAACGCACTGAGCCACAGCGCCGGCCCCCGAGGTAATTTCCACAACTTGTGGAGAAGATCAAGGAGGAAACACAACCCCAGGGGCCCTCTCTGCCTACACCATTGCCACATCGGTCAGAAGACTTCTGGACAGTAGCAGACGCTAGTCTAGGACACTGGAACTCAGGGAACTAGGGATGCTCCCACCCGACACACAGAGCACACCATCAAAGATGGCGCCTGCCAGTGTCGTCAGAGCTTCTCGGAGCCGCTGACAATTCCACACCAGAGGCGGGTTGTGGCCTTACTGGCAGGACCCACGGCGGGTAGGGAGAGGATACGTACCTTCCTGAAGTCTTGCAGGCTGCATATTTTCTGCCTCCAAGCGTTCTCTCCCCTCAAAGAAGATAACATGGATGAAAACATGCCAGAACATCGTTCTGTCAGGCAACTTACGCGACGCATCTCGATACGCAGAAAGCTTCCATCTATCTAGATCTCTACCTGCTCCAGCACTGCCGACACAGCAGCTGCTCGCGGTGGCACCTCCTCCTTCTCTTCCTGACCAAAACCTCTATTCAGGACCCCCTCACAGGCAAAGGAAGCAGTGAGCCCCTGAGGGCTTTCCTGTGTCCTGTTCCCAACACGTAGCCTGAGGCGGGAAACTGCGATATGTGTAAGCCACTGATTGGCAGGACGCTGTTGGGCGGAACTTCCTGTTGCCTCCCTCCACAAACAGGAAGGGTGAGGGCATAAATGTGACTGTGAACCGGAAATCAATTCCGCTGGGAATCCTGTTGCACTTGATAGGGTAGATGTTGTGCCCTGTTGGATTGGGCAGGGAAGGCCATTTGAGGTGAAGCAACAACCTGCAGAGAATGGAGGCAGGCCCCTGTTATAGGAATTTGGAGTCGGTTCTTTGTCTCACCAAAATGAAGAATTACGATGCAGACAATGAGGGCGGGCAAAAACAAAAGTTTTATTGAGAAATAAATTTTATAGATAATTACAAAGAATTGAAAAGCAAGGCTCCTGATGTCCAGGAGGGATACCCAAGGACGGGTTCTTTCAACGTCTGAGTATTGGGAGCTTATATATGGAGTGTATGTGAATTTATCAATTCTTCTACATCGTTTCCATATATCATAGGTCTGCTTTATTTTTTCTGTTTACCTGAAGACTGTGTTACTGACTAGTTAACAAACATTCGCTTACTGAACATGCAGTTGAGAACATGCCGATTTGTGGTGTGTTCTGGTCTGATACCAGAGCTTAGTTTCTTGCAGTTACCTATGCGTTTGGGACCCACTGTGTTCCCTATCAATGATTTCATTTTCTTGGGACCTTTCCTAACTGCCTATTAACCATTCTAACTCCTCACATTCCCAGACCCTGGATCTCAGATGTCCATTCTCTGCTCCTCATGGCCTCAAGATTATCTTCTCTTCCTTTGCCTATGGATGTCTTACCACCATTGCTGTCCCCATAATCCTGCCTGCACTCTTAGCAATGTATTCCTCTTCAGTATTAATTCAAACTAAAGATGTAGTGGTAAAGCCAAATTTCCACATCTGCTTGGTTCTCCTTTCACATCCACTTGAATCTCTTAACACAGTTTTGGCTCAGCTCTTCTTGGAAGCTGGGTCCAACTGTGGCTTTAGAGCAAAGCATCCATTGTGAACTGGAGATACTGTTTTAAGTATGTGTCATCAAATTGACTGGTAAATGAGGATGGCTAGGCAAATAGTTGATTCAGATGATGTAGTGCCATGCATGGCATTTGGGCGCCACCACTGTTGAGCTCATTTAAGGCTTTTATTTTGGGAATGCAGACACAGGGGAGTACAGTGTTCCCCAAATCTGTGAAATACTTAAAGGCAGGACATCCACTTCTCAAAGCCCACCAATAGGTAAATATTTAGTGGGTACTGACAATGAAGTGTGACCATGGCTAGTCAAGGTTTCCTGTGGTCAAAGTCATAATATCAGCCTTCCTACCCCCTTTTCTCACCAGCACCTGCCTTGAATTCCAGATAGCTGCTTAGGTCAAGACTTTCCTTTGCACCTACAGTCCCCACCTAGAATGCACTGTTTTGCCCACACAAACTCACTCTAGCACAACCTAGGTTCTCTCACTAGAATATAGTGCTGGGCCAAGAAACTCTGAACACTAGGAGGCAAGGGAGATAGATACATTTTCATTTCTGGGGCCCCACATTCTGAAGTGAAGTCTCTGCAACCTCACTCTTTTGCCTCCAATTCTCCTTTTGTCATGGGTGTCTTTGAAATCTCAGGAGATTCCAGCTTTCGGTTCTCCTGGTCCATTGGTGGACAGTCTCTTCTTCAGTACTACTCATTTGGACCACCCTCACCACATACTGCCCCTTGGCTTTGTCAGATCCATCTATCAGAAATGTCGTTGACTCTGATTTGTAAGGAACCTTATGGCTTATTACCGTATCACTTAAAAGCTCTCCTGTTCCAACTTTGATAAAATTACACAAGCTATATTTGCCTATGACTTTTATTATTTGTATTTTTTGTATTCTAAGAAATAACTGCCTAATCCAAGGTCACAAAGTGTTAATCCTGTGTTTTCTAAGAGCTTTGTAATTTTCTCCCCTTTATCTATGCTGACTTAATTTTGTGTTTGGCATTAAACAGAGGTCCACATTATTTTTATACTTGTGGTTATCCAGGGGTCCTGGCAAGATTTTTGCAAAGACTATTCTTTTGCTCTTTGTAGTAAATCAGTTGATGCTAAGACATAGTGTTCTGTTTCTGAATTCTCACTTGTAATCCACTAATCTATATGTCTACCTTTTAGCTAGTACAAAATGTTCTTGTTTACATAGATTTGTATTAAACATTAAGTCATGAAATGTGAATCCTTAAAGTTTGCTCCTTCTGAATATTTTGTTCTGGATATGTTTTTTCCATATAAATTTTAGGATCAATGCATGATTTCTACAAAAAGAAATCTGGGATTTTAATGGAAATTGTGTTGAATCTGAAGATTTCAGAAGATTGCCATTTTAATACAAACTTATCCAATCTATAAACAGGAGATACACTTTCATTTATTTATGTTGTCATTAATCTGTCAGCTATTGTAATTCTCAAACATTTTGCATTTTTGTTAAATTTATTCCCAATTTTATCCAATTACTGCTATTGCAAATTAAATATTATTCTTAATTTCCCTTTCTGTCGTTCCCCCTCTTCGTGGAGGAACGACACTAAACCCTGCCTAGGCTTCATATCCGAGTCACGGCACCATTATGTCGCTCCCCCTCTTCGTGGAGGAACGACACAGGACCCTGCGCTGTTCTTTCGTCTGCTCGGCCCTCCCCGGGTTTGCTGCTGGTTCTTCCCGGGTTGGCTACTATCCCTTCCACCTCCGTGGAAGGGCAGTTCCCCCTGGCCACATTCCCCACTTCCGCAGGGGAGTGGCACACCGCCGGCCGGCTTTCTCGGGGGCTGCACGGGTGTTCCTTCAGCTAGATGTTCCCCTTAGATGTTCTCGGTGCATGCCGTCTCTCTCCTCCTTTATAGTCCTCCTCCGCCAATCCCAACTCGGCTGCCCACATGCCGAGTACGCTGCTCTCCTCCAATCAGGAGCGAGTCCTACAGTTTATTAGTTGAACTGGAGGCAGCTGTGTGGAAGCTGTTTACTTCTCTCCCAGGGCCATATTGTGGGAGAGCAGATGCATAGAATAAGTCCTAATTCCAGTAACTCAGTCCAGTCCGGATTGCTCCCCACAGATCCCCCTTTCTTTTTATTTTTTGGCGTTGATACGCGCCTGTCTTCGGTGTCCCGCGGCACACACTCTGCTCTACTTGCTAGAGTTGCCACAGGCTCTTACAAGTCCTATCAATCAGGCAAACCGAATCCGGGTCCTCTCTTCGCCATGTTGTGAGGAGGTTTTTAGGCGCTGATGCGTGCCTGTGTTCGGTGCCCTGCAGCGCATGCTCTGGTCGAGCCTGCAGGGGCTTACAAGTTCTATCAGGCAAACCGAATCCAAGCCTTCTCATTGCCTTTTTGTGGGGAGGCCTTACTGATGTTAATTCGTGCCTGTCTTCGGTGACCTGCGGCGCATAAGCTGCTAGCCGCCCAGGTGCTCATCGCCTCACTAATCGGGCAGACCGAATCCAAGCCTTCTAATTGTGGTATTGTAGGGAGGCCTTTCTATTTCTCTATTTCTCTATCTCCGGGCATTCCTATTTCTCCCATTTTACTTCTATCTGCCAACATTCCTATTTCTCTCACTTTGCTTCTAAACTTCTATTTCTCTTATCCCTGCAGCTTCCCGGTGCCCGCCCCAGGCTACTTCTCGGCGGCTTCCCGGCTGAGCCGCTTCAGCCCGCGCCTCTTTCATCTGCGCAGCTTCCCGGCTTTGCGCGGCTTGGCTTCGCGCGCTCCGCGGTCTCCACGCCCTTCGCGTCTGCACCACGGCCTCGCGCCAGCCCCGTTCCCTATCTATTCACGCCCCGTGCTCTCTCTGCACGCGGCGGCTTCCGCGAGTAACACAGCGTAGCTTACGTGTCCGCCACTAGCATTCAATCTAAGTTCCCCGGGCTAGCCTGGCGAATTCAACCCAGCATACGTCTCCGCCCCACGATTTGGCTTCCCGTCCTTTGCTCCCCGGGCTAATCAGACAGATCCCAATCTGGCTTACGTTTCAGCTTCTGGTTTCAACTTTTCGCCCCCTATTCCCGGGCTAACTTGAGAACCCCAAAGTGGCTTTCGTATCCGCCTCGGCCTGCCCCCCGCGGCTTCAATTTCCCTAACAGTTTTCTCTACCCGGTATGTTTCCCTAAGTTTTCCTCCAACGATATTCCTCCCTCATTTCTCCTGGCCTCTCCCCACAGTCCGCATCCGAGTCTGTTTGTTCTAGCTTTCACTTCAGCTTTCAACCTTAGAGATTCTCCCAGCTCCCCCGTAGTCC